GGCGGTGGGGCAGGAGGGCTGCGTGGGTCGCTGTCAGCTCTCAGCACATCAGCCGGCACATGTGCCATCCTGGGCAGCGGTGAGGGAGCTGAACCTCTGGAGATGGCCTCCCTGGCTGGCTCGTCCTCCCTCCCCACACTGCAGTGCCCTGGCAATGCTGGTGGAGGGCAGACTTGGGCTGGATGGAAATCACAACCTGCTTTCCCCTCCTTCCCCAGGTCAGACATTGTGGGAGAGACTCAGTCTGCTCTGTGCTGTGCTACTAGCAATTAATTGATAACAGCTAGTAATAGCAATTAATTGCTTGTGCTCCAGAGGGTTTAGACCCATATCCCAAGGATGGGGCTGGGGCCAGGCTCACCGTGATGGGATATTCATGTTCCCCAGAGGTGTGGGGCAACACATCCTGAACACCCAGCGTCAAGGGGTGCCTGGGGTCCATGAGACCCTGCCCCCCTCCATCCTCCCTCTCCCACCGGCCAGCACCTGGCTTTTTCTCCACTGCCCCCTCTGAAGCAGGGAGTGGCTGAGCCTGCAGGAAGGCTGGGCAGAGAGGAGTTAACTCCAAACCCAACCTCAGGGAGAGGGGAAAAAAAAAAACAAACCAGAGATCAATGGATCAGCAGCAAGAGCAGAGGGAGGGAAAAGGGGGAGACAGAGAGAGAGCTAGCAGAGGAGCTCCAGAAGGAGAGAGCTGTGTGTGGGAGCCAGGAGAAGAGAGAGCAGAGCTGGCAGCAGGCAGGGGGAGACAGCGGAGCACCGGGCAGGGGTGACAGCACTGCCCAGACCAACTCTTCAGTGGCCCGCATCCTTCTTGCCACTGCTGCCCGGGCTGGACCAGAGGTCTCCCCTGAGCGAGCGGTGAAGCTGCAGGCCCTTCCTCACAGAGGTGAGTGCTGGCTTCCCAAGCGAGGGACAGCCTTGGGCTCCCTGAGCAGGGACACGACAGTGCCCAGAGATGCCCCGCTGCCTATGTGTGAGTGCGTACCCAGAGGGCAACCGGGATCCTCTGCTCGAGCAAGGAGATCCCATGGGGCCAGGATGGAGGAGCCAGATAGTTACCAGTAGGGCAGAGGGGACCGCAGAGCCAGAGACGACCTTTTGGTGTGATAGAGAGGCTGCTGGGAAGGAGAAGTGGTGTGAGCTGAGGGATGGGGGAGCGTGGGGCGAAGGAGCTTGCACAACCCAAAAAAAAGAGTTAATCGCATGTCAACAGTTGCTAGATAATAGTGCCTTTCCCTCTTGGTTGCTGCTCAGCAAAGGACAATTTGTTCTAATGATAGCACAACGTGGAGAAGGCTCGTTAGGAGATAGATAGGCTGCTGGCACTCCCTGCCTGAGCACAGTGTTACTCAGGGCTGGAGGAAGTTTTGCAGCAAAACACAATACCTTGAGCTGCAGTAATAATTACACTCCTTCACAATGATCATCGTGCTGTGTTTCAGGCAGCTCCAAGGTTTCCCCCCATCCTCTCCTAGCCACCACCGTCCAGCCCATGACCACCTCTCAGCATCAGGAACACCTGCTCTGAGTCACCTCTCCTCTGTGGAGAGTAACTTCTGCAAAGGGAGCAAGGAGCAGCCAGCTCTGGGGTGGGGGTGGTCCCAGCTGAAGGAGCTCCCTTGAGGCAGGAGCGTGGTGGGGTGCTGCTGCTGCAGGACCAGACATCAGATCCCTGCTGCCAGAGGTGGCACAGCCCCGGGGCGAGGGTGCCAGAACCACTCGCAGTCCCTATGGCCTTGTGTCCCTCGCTGAGCCCTGTTGAACACCAGCTAGGATTTAGACTAGCCAAAGCAAGCAATCCCAAGAGGTTTAGCAGCTTTGGGATTGTAGGAGGAATGTAGGGGAGGCCAGGCAGCAGGACAGGGGGTCCTTCAGGGGGCTGGGAACACAGGAGGTCCATGGTGGAGACATGAACGTGGGCAGGAGAAAGGGGCTTCAGCTCCATTTGAGCCAGGCAGATATGGGCTGGCTGATCTCAACAGCATTCTTGCCAGTGACGTCAAGGATCTTGATGTAATCATTTAACCAGCTGGTTAGGATTGGCATCTCCGGGAGAAATGTGGGCATCAGAAAAAGACAGGGATAAGGCACCTTAGGACCAGAGCTCTGGTGGCCACTGTGGTCAACACCGAGCAGCACCCACTTGCCTACGGCCATGCACAGGTGCTGTGTCTGCCTTTCTCCCCTCGCAGGTCCCCGCAGTCTGATGGGGAGATGCCAGGAGGCTGGAATGCCTCCTCTGACAGCCTGGAGCTGCGAGCTGCAGGGATTATTGTGCCTATCATCTTCTCCCTCATCTTCCTCCTGGGCACTGTGGGGAATGGGCTGGTGCTGGCCGTGCTGCTGCGGAATGGCCAGGTCAAGTATAATACCACCAACCTCTTCATCCTTAACCTGGCCATGGCTGACCTGTGCTTCATCGTCTGCTGCGTCCCCTTCCAGGCCACCATTTACACCCTGGATGGGTGGCTCTTTGGGGCCTTTGCCTGCAAGGCTGTGCATTTCCTGATCTACCTCACCATGTACGCCAGCAGCTTCACCCTGGCTGCCGTCTCCGTTGACAGGCAAGCATCCCCTCCCCTTGGAGTCCCTCAGCTCAGGGACAACGTGTTTGCCACTCTTGAGCTAGGCATGGGAGAAAGGCCAGTCCCAACCTTGTTGAGTGTCCTGTAAGGAGCAGGTAGGGTCTCCCCAGAGGCAGAGCCAGCCTCCCTCCCTATCTCCCCCTGCCCTTTTCCAGCACCAAGCCCAGCTCTTGGCCTGGTTACCCAGCCCTTACTTAGGAAGGAGGAGTGCATGGACATGCTGAGGTTTGGTGTCTACTGTGCAAAACCAAGAATGGCAAAAGCCCAGGGCAGCAATGCACCAGAGGAGAAAGAGGGAGTACTCTGGGTCCTGCTCCTGTCCTCTTCCCTAGTTCAAGAGGCATGCTGCTTGCCTTTCCTGAGCTAGCACAGCAGAGTGGGCAACGGAGATCCCAGACCCACTGTTGGGATGACCCTGATCTCTATGTGAACTCACTGTAACCCTCCCTACCAAAAGGTGGGGAGGGGAAGAGATGGGTGGCTGTGTGGGAGGAGGTGCACAGATGGCAGCTCCATGGGCCAGGAGGGCAACAAGGTATCATCTCACCCACCTTGTATTTGGTCTCTCCTCTGTACCCTCTTCGCCAGGTACCTGGCCATTCGCTATCCGCTGAAGTCCCGGGATCTCCGTACCTCCCGAAATGCAGGAGTGGCCATTGTAGCAATCTGGTCGCTGTCACTGCTCTTCGCGGGGCCTTACCTCAGTTACTACCAGGTTGTCCATTACCACAGGGTGCCCGTCTGCATCCCCATCTGGGAAGACCAGCGCCGAAAGATTCTGGACATCCTCACATTTGTCTTTGGATACCTCCTGCCTGTGACCGTGGTGAGCCTGGCATATGCCAGGACCATCAAGTTCCTGTGGACCTCCGTAGACCCCATAGAAAGGATCTCAGAGTCCCGGAAGGCCAAGTGTAAGGTCACCAAGATGATTGTGGCTGTGGCCATCCTGTTCTGCCTCTGCTGGCTGCCCCACCACCTGGTCATCCTGTGCTTCTGGTTTGGCCACTTCCCCTTTAACCGAGCTACTTATGCTTGCCGCCTGGCTTCCCACTGCCTTTCATATGCCAACTCCTGCCTCAACCCCATTGTCTATGCCCTCATCTCCAAGCATTTCCGCAAGCGTTTCAAGCAGGTCTTCACCTGCCTCTTCTTCCAGACCAAGACCAGGAAGAAGAAGAAGAGAGCTGGAAAGAAAGTCCATGTGGTCAATGTGCGCAAAGGTTTCACCAACAGCACCAGAGGTTTCTATGGAGGCAACACTGAGGTGATCCAGGTCCCAGAGGAGAACACCAGGAAGAGGGACCCTGAAGGTGCCAGTCATGATGCCAGAGCATGGACTCACCAGCTACAAGATGCCATGGTCTCTGCGCAGAAGGAGCTGCTGGAGGAGGAAAGTTTGGCAACAGCTGGCCATCCCCTAGCCATGACCCCTCCAAGAGGAACTGAGGAGTTTCTGACTGTTCATTACAGATGAGCAAAGAGAAGAAGTCTGTTTTCCAGCCTGTGAGTAACCACTCCATTCCCAAATGGGCAGAATAATGTGGGGCAGAGGGGAATGGACACAGCAGAGCCACAGAAACCTCTTGTGGTGATGGTTAACCCATTGTCCACACTCACCTTCACTCACTGGCCCACAGCATTCATATAGGAATGGCACAATCCACCCATACAAATACAGAGTGGAGGGCAGTGACCTGGTGGGCATGCCTGCAACAGGTTTTAAGGCCTCCATTTCCCAACTCCCTAACTTGCTAATTTTATGCAGCACCTTGAAACTCTAAGAGGGAGGCAACCAAAATGAAAACATCCTGGTAAGAAATCCAGGCTGCTAAGGGCACATGAGAGCATGGGTGGGAAGAGCAGAGAGAGCGCATGGGGACCTAAGTGTCAATAGGGTAGCTGGCAGGCTCTCGCCCTGGCAGGGGTGGGGTGCTGTGACCAGCCCCAAGCAGCAAAACACTGTCCCCTGCCTACACGTCCTTTTCCCATGCTCCAGGGGCAGCCCTAGTCCACTTCCACCCCTTTCCCTAGCCCCTGCATCCAGATCAGAGGGCCTTTGCCACACTGTCTCATGTGCAAGGAAGTCAGCTGTCTGTGCCAAAAGCTCAATGATGCAAACTCTGCAGCAGTCACTAGTCATACTCAAATGATTTATGCCACAGCAGGTGAAGATTGGAAAGGCTTGTGTGCCAACACCTCTGCGTGCCTCCCCTCTGCACCCGTGGCTTCTCTGAAGTTCAAGGAGGAAAAGACCATCTGTCCAGTCTCTTCCCTCCACCTTGCCCCACCAGAAGTACTCGCTGGAGGATATTTCCTAGAGCTCTGTCCCACTTGACTTTAGCTCTTGCAAGGAGATCCTGCAGGACACTGTTCCACTTCCTAATGCTGCTTGCAGTTTCAGAACTATTTCCTGATAGACATCCCCAGTTCTTCCTAAACAAACCTGGTAACTCCTCCTTTCACCATGTTGTTCCACCTGATCCACCCCTCTGCTTACTTTCTGTTTGCCTTTTGCAAATTCCTGAGGAATTGCTACTTCCTCTTTGATCTCTGCTTGCTACTTAGAGTTTCATCCCTTCCTTCTGAGTCTGAAGGACCTGTTGCTCTCTGAGCAGTGACATTATTCATTGATATTAGCCCCCATGTGTGTGGTTTACTGACTTGGCCAGACAGTTTTTTTCCATGTGATGCTGATGATTGTGAGTGAATTGATGTCTGTCACCAAAGCAGAATAAAGTAGCTAAGCTGCAAAATGAGCTATGGAGCCAGGTGACAGTCGTGGTGAGGCGAAGGAGAAAGAAACAGACCCATGTGCACTTAGTTCAATCTTATCTCCTCAGCACCCCTTTCTACCTTTCTACCACTCAGCAGGTTGGGACATCTTCCAAAATGGCCACTGCTGTGGAATTGCTGTGGGCCCCATGTCTGCCTGGGAGCAAAACTTTGCCCTGCTCTGTCCCCTGCAGCCCTGAGCAGCTGTGGAGGAGCCTTTGGCTGTGGTAGCAGCTCGACAACACCTCACAGCGGGGCCAAGCATTCCCCCGGCCTGGCCATGGGAAGGATGGGAAGTGCCACAGGGATGGCATGGTGGGACAAAAATCACGTTCACCAGAAGGTGCTGGAATTTCTCCCCCGCTCGACCTGAATAAACCCCAGTAATTTCCTTTGCCTGCATGTTTGCTGTATGCTGGATACAATCTCTGCCCGGTGTGGGGCTCTGCAGTTTGGGCTGGAGGCGGTGGAGGCCGTACAAGCCATCTGACCACAGTCTGGTGCTCCCAAGTCACTAGCAGGGTGTCATTTGTTTTATTCGACTTTGCAGACACTGCAGAAGTGTACAAAAGAAGCAAAGCCGGGGGTTTTAAGATGGATCCAGCACTGCTGGAGTTCACAACAAAGTTGTGGGAGAGGGAGAGACAGAAGCCGGGAGAGGGAAAAGGAGGGATGGTGGGAGGACAGATTGGGGGCAATATAAATGATAGATGTGTGGCGGGAGCCATCTACAGGGACAGAAAACGGCAGTGAGAAGGCAGGGCGAAGTGAGGGGCTAGAGGCAGAGGGCGGAAGGGAGGATGAGGGGGCATGAGGGAGGCGGAAGCGATGTGCTGGCAGAGCACCCACTTTTTTGGCAGGAGCCTTCTCCCCATCCCAGAAGTGCCATGCTGCTCCTGAGCTGGGGTGAGCATCACTCAGCTATGTTGAACCCCAGCCCCATGGCAGCTTTCTCCAGCATTTTTCTGTATCATCAGGCTGTTGGAGAAGCCCAGAAAAACACTATCCGAGCAAGGCCTTTGATCAGTCTAGCGCACATGGGAGGGAGGGAGCTGGTGGGATTTGCATTGCTGCAATGCCGTGATTTGCCGTGCTGCCTGGCAGAGCTAGGCCCAGGCACATGGCTGACTTCACACAGCTCCGGTTTTGTCACGTAGTCGTGACATGAGGGGAGAGGGCCCCAGCAAAGTACTCGGCTTCCCCAGTGTGTCAAGTCCACAGCCGCCTGAGGCCATCCTCTGTGGGGATGAGACAGCTGCACCATGGGGACACAAACTCTGTGATGCCACCTGGCTTGGGAGCGCAAGAGGGACAGATCCTGCTTCGTTTGCCAGCACAGGCGTAGCCCCTGAGCATCAGTCCTGTGGCTCGGGAGCTTTTGGTGATGCTGTAGAACAAGTCCAGGAAGAAGCCCTAGGAAGGGGACAAGTCACCTGAGAGGCTTCCTGACCATATCCCAAGGGCTTCACTTTCCCTCAGGAGAGGCCAGGATCAGGCCCACACCTTATCTCCACTGAGATGGTTTTCTGTTTGCAGCGAAAGACATGAGCTTGCTCATTCAGACCTGTTAAACTGAGCTCAAGCCCCACAGAGCTCCTCAGTGACCTCCTCTGCAATCCTGTAGCCAGGACTGGGATGTCTCAGCCACCAATCATCAGACCTGCCACCATCCCAGCTCAATATTTACAGTAAATTTTACAGGATTGCAACAGCCCTCCTTTTCCTTAATTACATATGGCATTTAATTAGTGCTGTGTGGTTCCCAAGTATGTAACTCTTAGCGTGAAGCAGATTTTCATCCATAACACCCTAAGAGCAGGTGAAAGAGGGAAAACTTGGCAGAAAGTGTTTAGTGAAAGCAGTGACATTGTGGGATACTCCAGACTTCCATGCTGAAGCTGGGAAACAGTTACAGATCGTCATGGCAGCAGCAGGTTTCAGAATGAACACATTTGCCCTGAACGAGGCAGATCATTCTCCTTCCCTGGCAGTTCACTTTCCCCAGCCCCACTGCCGAAAGCCAGCATGTGCATGGAGACATCCCTCCTGGCAAAGCCCTACAGGCTGACTTTCGAGGTGGAGATGCAAGGACTGGGTGCTACAGCAGTCTCCATAGCCTGGAAATTTGCAGGGACCACACTGCTTTCTAGCGAATTAAAACAGCGAAGGAGCTAACACTGGGGAGCCCTAGCCGGCAGAGAGGAGCCATTTACTGTCAGCCCACTGATCGTCAGGAGCCGATTGCCAACGCGAGCCTGCAGCAGATATGAAGTTGTTGAAGGCTGCGCAGCCCTATCAGTGGTGTCCTGAGCCCTGCATGGGCTGTGGAAGCCACCAGTGTCCTTGCTTGTCCCCATGCGCAGTGGGACCTCGGCAAGGCAGCTGGAGGCTGCATCCAAAGCAAAGGGGTTTTTGGCCCCATCCTTGCCTTCGACACTCTCAGTGCTGTAGGCACTGTACGGCAGGGATGGGGGACATCAGGCAGCAAGGAGCTTGCAGAGCTGTGGTGCATGTGAGCAGAGCCATGAGCCCCCCCTTATTTCTCTTCTCTTTCTGTCCCCTGCTTCTGCTTGCATAAATCTTCCCTTATTGCTTTGTCCTGCCCACTCTTAAAATTCCCAGGTGATGTGGTATTTCTAACCCTCGCTGAAGCTGTTGCACGCCTTGCTAGAGCTCAGCTCCAAGGACACCCCTTTCCCCATGCAGAGGCCAGCTGCACTGGGAATTATTTTTCTTTTTCCATTCAAGTGTTTGATGTTGCTCTCTGCACCTTGAGCCTCCCTTGTCTCCTATCCCCGTTTCTGATTTCTCTGGCTCCCTCCCTCTGCAGTGGCTGCCACTCCTCTGCAGCCGATGCCTTTCAGCAACATGACCAGCGTGCTTTGCCTGCCTTCCTGGGGATGGCTACTCCTGCAGCCGCCCTTTGCATGTGATGCCATGGCTGGTGGCCAGCTCGCATGGTCACAAGCAGCCTCCAGGTAACACAAAAATCTGCATCGTTTCTGGGGCTGAGGCCCCACTTCACAGCCCAAAGGACCAGAGGGAGAAGGGAATGGCGGTCGAGAACAGTGATGCTGCACAGACAGATGCTGCCTGTTCTTGCCCACTTGCGGCCGGGCTGTTGCTTGCCCCTGATCCTGCTCCTCCTGGTCCCAGCTTGCAAAAGTGGTGGATCAGGTCAGGACTGACTGCTGCACGTTGGGGTGAAGCCTACATAAAACAGGTCAGAGAAGACATGGACAAAACCTGGGGGAGAAGGTGCATTTAGCATGGCAAGCATCTGCAAGCCCTGGCTTCCATCCCTAAGCTCTGCCTTGTGTTAAGCCCCAATTTTGGGGAGCACATGAGTGGGATGGGCAAATGCTGAGCCTGGCTTTGGGAGGCTCTGGAGCCAGAAGGGAATTCTTGTCTGCTCAGTAACAGCGTACGTGCTCCAACTGGTTTCACAGCTCAAAGGTAGAGGTGAAGAAAAGGTGTCATGTCCTTGATATACAGCTGTGTTTAATTAAAACTGCAGGAGCTTGATTGCTGCTTTCCACAGCAGCCTCCGCTCCAAACTGATCTGCATTCTGCAGTCTCCGCTCCCAGCTTCTCGCCTTAATTAATGACTCCTTGCTTGTATTTTCTTTCCTACTTGTCATCACTCAGGCTGACGAGCTTGGCTTTAACCCTGCAAAGGCTGGTTTGCCACACCTGCTGAGCGCAGCCACGCCGGGAGCTGGCCCAGGGCAGAGGGAATAGGAGAGGCAAGGGCATGTCGGGGCTTTGCGGCTAGCGGTCGGCACCAGCTCACCTGCCAAGCAGGCATAGCTGCCCTCTGCGGAGCAACTTAGTCCTGCCAGTTGTGTGCCGGTTCTGGTGCCCGGGCACCTCCCCGGCATGCGTGCCATGAGCCTGATGCTGCTGGGAGGTGTCAAACCCAGGTACCAAGAAACGCATGTGCAAATCTGGCAGCCCTGGTGGGGGTTTCCCTGTCTGCAGATACATGGGGCTGGGGGAGGCAGAAGGCCAGGGGAAGCTGTTACAAGGATGGCTCCTAATTCCCTGGCAGAGCAATGGGCTCAAGCGCTGCCCTTGCGCTTGGGGGAACAGGACCTTGTACAGACACTCTGCTAACAGCCAGGACAGCCCTGTAAATGCACCTCATGGCAAGACAGCCTTGCCACCCAGAGAGGTAATGGTGTGACGGGTGGACAGGGCACATCATAGCACTATTAGCTATAGGGAATTCTGCTTATTTGCTTTTGGGTTTAGCTGCTTGTTCCTAATCCATGGCCAGACTTAGCAGGTTGCCAGCTGATTATTTCAATTCTTCCAACAACCACGTGCTCTCTTCCCTTCTCAGAGCTTTCAGAAAAGCCCAGAGGAACACTATTTGCCATATCTCCTTTATCAGCTTCTTAATCAAAACTGCAGGCAGGCTCTTCCACCCAGTTGTACCGTGGGCCCTGAGCTGCCCAGGACTGCTCTCCCACACTGGCCAAGCACAGTGCATGAAGAAGGCATCTTTCTGCAAGTACCTTTCCATGACAGAGATCTGTCTTGCTCACAGAATGAGAGGAGGAAGCAGATGAAAGGGTGGGAGGTTTGCCAGAGATGCTTCATGGGGCTTCTTCAGCAGCGCAGATGATTACAATGATGGATCTGGAGTCTGCTAGAAAGGCAAAGGTGGAGGAAGTAATGGAGTTCAGATGATCGCTTGATACCCTGGAGTTTAATTATTTCAGCTGCTGAAGAGTGGAACAGATTCTTGATGTTTGCACATACTGCAGTGTGCACTTTGCATTCGCTTGCATGGGTGAGTGGCCGCTTCAGAGAAGGCCTTTTGCTTAATAACATCCATGCAGCTTTGTCAGGAGGCTTTGTTCTGGGCTGTTGCTTCTGCTGTGGGTCCTCGGTGAGACCCAAGCAGGTTTTCAGTCTTTGCTTGCTTGGATGAGCAAGATCCTCAACCTGGCTGGTTTTGGTTGCGTCTTACAGCACAGCAGCGGCTGCAGAGCCGGGGAGGTTGCTGCTGGGTTCAGTGGCCAGGGATTCAGCACATCACTGCAGAGCCATACTCTGAATGAGGAGGGGAAATGGAGTGTATTTGGAGGCCAGGCAGCGGTGAGGGAGAAGCAGGGCCCTGAGTCAAGCCCTGGTTGCCAGAGTGTGCTGGCAGCCTGACACCATGGCCCCAAGGAGTGGGATGCACCACCACTCGGGAAGGGACCTGGAAGGTGTGTTTGATGGTGTAGCACAAGAAAAACTAGGAGGTTGGACTGAGTTGAATGGCAAAATAAATAGCAGAGGGAAACCTGTGCTGTTGTTTTCATTCTTTGTTACTGCAGCAGACACCTCTGGGATTTGTGGAAAACTGCCACCAGCCTCACCTGTCGGTTGTGCAGGGAAATCCGTGGCCCAGGATGCAAGGGCAGGGGGAAAAGCTGCTTGGAACAAAGACTCTAGGCCAGGAGCAGCAGAAAAAGCAAACAGTGCCAGCGAACAGGTCTTGGCACCACATGAAGCCACACTCTCGTCCTTTCCTGGAACCTTTTCTTTCCTTCTTTCCCTCCCCAGCACCTAACTGTCTTTTTAGATACAGCTGCTGAGCATGGCAGGGCAGTCAAGGCTTTGGCATGACCACCTGACACAAAGAAACCTAAAACTTTTCTCAGTCCAGTGCCAAACACATGACACGGCTCTCAGCAGCCCAGTGCTTCAGCCCCGAGGCAGGAAAGCAGAACTGACTGTGGTGATTCTTGTATGATGCTTTTATATGATGCTCCCCCTGCCCCAAAAACCAGATCCCCTTTTCTCTTTCTTATCTGGTGTTATCGCTAAAGCAGTGGCAAAACTTCTTATAAGCCTGCTCATTTTATTTGCCTCAGCTCATTTGTACTGGTCTCCAGGGGACTGCCAGCACTGCCTCACCTCCCACGGAGGGAGTAGTGCTGCAAAAGAGGCAAGGCAAATGCTCGGCTGGCTGCAGCCTTTCCCCTCCAAGCACACAGCCAGGAGCAGTTATGAAAAACTCCAGTGCCAGGCAAGACAAAGGCCTGAAGAGCTGTGGACAACAATATCACATATGCTCAAGCTAAAAGCTTCACTCTGAATCCCAGCTAGGTGTATTCCTGGTTTTGAGGAAAGCTGCCAAGCCGTGTCTAGTTAGCAGACAACATCAGCAACTAAGGTAACTGCAGCGATAAAGAGCATTTCAGCTGCCTGCTCTTTGGGCACTTTAATGGTCTCCTCAGCAACAAGGCTGTTGAGTGCAGAAGCGTTGACACCTGGGTATATGTGGACACCAAGACTGGGCTGTGAAGGTGGGAAGAAACAAGATAAGTAAAGATTGGACATGAAGGTCACCTGCTCCTCACACAGGGACCGCCCTGGAAATTCTCTGCCCTGCCCAGATGTCACTCCCCAGCCCCTCATCCCCTTGCTGTCTCTTCACAGCGCAGCCATTTTATCAGGCATGGGGCAAGGCACAAGTTCAGCCTTCTTCTCCCCACCAGCATCATGCTTATGCAGGAGTGCAGATGGGGCAAGGCATGAGTTCAGCCTTCTTCTCCCCACCAGCATCATGCTTATGCAGGAGTGCAGATGGGGCAAGGCTACTTTTCCTCTTTGCAAAACATCCCATCTTCCAGCTTAAAGCAATCCGGCTGAGATTCTCATTCCTCTGTATGGTTTCACAGCAACTAACTAGATTTAAAGTTTGGATTCCTTGGCTGTGGGAGTCAAGATCAGAAGGTGAGTCAGCAGCTGTGTACTTCGATCGGCAAACAGACCAGTGTTCGAATTCAAACAAGCTTGTGTTGTCACTTCTAATTTCAGTACCAGCTATGAGAGCAGCAGTTACCAAGTCCAGTGCTGTGCCTGGGGCCTGGAACGTAGGTAAAGAAAGCCACTCTGAAAAAAGGGAGAACTTGGCTGAGGAGTCTGAAAAGGCTGACAGGATTTTATTGAAGTTCAAAATGCAAAAAGGTCATATTGTGTCCCACCCCCTCATTATCCTTCCCATCCAGCATATCATAATGAAGTATCAGGATTCACAGTGACAGCTCCAACCAAACCACAAGACCGTTAGTCCCAGCCATGGCCTCCAGCACCCCAGGAATGAACCCATCTAAAAGCCACGCATATTTCTGGTATCTCAGCTTTGAACATGGAGGTCCACTTAGCCTCTTCGCGGACAAGAGGCCAGATATTAGAGAACATGCTGACTCGAAGGTCTCTGAAGAACGCTCCATACTGTGGCTGTTGCATGGTTAAGCTGAATCCTAAGAATGGACACTTCCAAACCAGCAATTCCCAGGCTGTGGGATGGGCATCGCTACTGGCACGCTGTGTCATTTAGGTGTAGCACACAGGTGGGAACTCACATTGCTATCAGGTACGTTCTTGTCACCCTGCTGCTATTCATAGAATCATAGAACCATTTCGGTTGGAAAAGACCTTTAAGATCATCAAGTCCAACCATTAGCCTAACACTACCAAGTCCACCACTAAACCAATTCGTGCCTGACCAACAAGATTTATGGATCCCTGCTCCAAAACAAAGCTATCTACGTCTTTGTTACTAACCGCAGTGGCACAGAAGCAAGAGATTAGCAAGGGCAGTTCCCTGCATCCTTCATAGCTGCATCACGTCAGGCTCCCAGCAGAGGTCATAACTCGTTCCTCATGCTGCACTTAAGGTTCTGGAGCAGCACCTCTCCATGACAAGCAAGACACACAGTATGGGTCAGCTCTCAGTTTGCCACTGCTGAGGCAGCCATAAATCCACCTCCATTCCAGCCCCAATAAGTCAGTTATGGTGGGGTTTTTTGCAAGATGTAGATGTCTGCCTAAAACTGTGCTAGGATTAAGTCACCCCCCCAAACTTTATTCTTGCATCAGGGCAGCTCTGACCTGCTAGCTGTCTACCTGGGTATTTTTTGCAAGTGTTTCACTGTAGTATTTAAGCACTAACTTGCAGCAGTGATTTAAAAACTAGGGCCAGTGAAAGCAGTTAGTCTAGTGATTAAAAGCTTTGTATCCCATTTGCAACCAGACAGATTCTCTGCCTTCTGACTGCAGGTTCTGGGGAAGGTTAGGACTAAGCCTCGGTGCGTGTTTCTCAAGGCAGTATGTTTGCACAGCTGCTAGCATGCAGAATGAAGTGTGTGTTCTTCTCACAGCACAAAGCCTTCTGTTGTCCAAGGCATCCACTTCCTCCCTCACGCAACTGAGTACTGCAGAGGTGGCAAAAGGTGCCTGTTCCAAGCATTTCTGTGATGTTGGCCAGCTGCAGAGTGCATTAGGCAGGGCTGGTGACTGAACATGGCATCAGCCACTACCTACATTGAGCTGAAGTGCTTAGGAGAAGGCAGAGTATCTCTGGAAGGGATATCTTATTCAGCGCCAGCCCATCTGATAAAAAGAGCAGCAGCTCTTTTTTTCCAAAAGTCTCAGCTGCAACAGTTTGTTGTCTCTGTTGTCCAAAGCCCGCTGCCTCCCCATGAGGCAGCTGTGGCAGCACCCACAGGGACAGTCTGAGCACCACTGGAGAGTGGATCTGGCAGGAACAGCTGCTGGCAGCAATGTTTATTCAGCAATCTGGGAAGCAAGCTTCAGCTTCCTCTTTTTCTCTCTAAGGCTTCTCCTGCTGCATCAGGAAGATGATTTTGAAGCCCACTACCTCTTCTCCATCTTCTGCATCTGCAGGCTGAGTGACGTGAAGCTGGCCAGGAGGTCTGTAACCTCATCCACCTAACAGAATACAGTTGGCCATCAGGCAGAGGAATGCAGTTGTGGAGTTGACCACCAACACAGAAGAAACCCCCATGCAGCAGGGACCACCCTTGCACCAGGACTGCCAGTAATGCCCACGCTGAGCTTATACTAGGACAGGATCCCACAATTGTGTGGGAGGGCTCCTGTCCTCACGATCAAACAAGTCCTAATCTAAGGCAATGGGAGCTTCTCCCCACTCCTCAGGAGGTCGATGCTTGACCTCCACCTCGCGCGATTTAGCCTGTCCTTAAAATAGAAGCGTGTTGCTGCATTACACAGAACTCAACAGTGGTATCAGGGTTGTTTCTGCTAAGCCCGTTTCTAAGGTCCAATCTTTTGTAGAAAAGAACCAAACAGGCCCTGCAACCCTGTGTGGTTGTGCTGATCCTGGCCTTGAAACGCCTGTGCCCTCGGCCCATCTGTTTTTCAGCTTCTCTGCTGAGCTGCCAAGCACAGTGATGCTTTCTGCATTTTGAATTCCAACCGAAAGGAGTACCATGAGTCATCCCGTAACTTGCCCACTTTACCCAACATGAGCAAGAACACTTCCGTAACTGTGTCTTCAATGTCACCTGGCTCATGCACTTGCATTCTCCTAAACACAGAAGTCACAATGCAACTGGGTGATTCACAGTAGCTTAACGCTGCCTACCTGCTCTTTTGTGCTAGTCATCTGTAACCTGGAGCAGAGGTCATCCAGCTGTTCTTTTTGCTCATGCCTCCCCAGTCGCTCCAGGTATTCCCGCAACATCTGGATAATCTGAAACCAACAGGTTTAAGAGGCAAACATCAGACAGCTGCACCAGGCTGGGATGTTCTTACAGGAAAAATTAAATTACGGTTAAATTGCCAAGCACAGCCTTGACACTGCGGTACATGACAGAATACATGACCCACAGAGAAGAACACATGCAAAGCAACCAGAGAGTGCTAACAGCGGCATTAGAGCCCAGTGAGTCACCAGAGGCGTTGACCAGCCACAGATGGAGTAGTCATGATCCCTGTGCCTGGTTTAAGAACAAAGAAGAGAGACAGGCCCAGCTGAAGAAGCGCAAGGTCTAGCCCTGAAAGCACCAAGCTGTTTTTTAGGGCCAGCTAGCTTCCCTCACCACGAGGAGCAGGGACTTCCCACTCCAGCAGGATCCGCTTGTGCACTGAGGATGAAAAGTCTTGTGGCTCCTATATGGCTCCTGAAGCGAGGCCCACACCTTGTGCACTTGTGATGCAGCCCCCTAGGAGACTGCTCTCCTATCCCATGCCTCCAGGTATCGGAGCAGGGCAAACAGTGCTAGGAATGCAGAGTCCCTGCTGGAATGCGTATGCCATGGCTACAGCCCCATGCTGTGGTCCCTCTCCTGCCACAAGGCATCTGTCTTACATGGTGGTTGAAGAAAAGAGAGTGCTCCATACAGCCTGAGAATTAAGACATTCAATGTAACCTTGGCCTACCAGAGCCAAGAGAGGTCCTGCAAAAATTCAGAGTAGTGGTTGGGAAAAAGGAAGGTCTCTGAAAACAGAAGGAAAAAGTCAAACTCCCCCCAGAGCAGCTAAGAGCCTACAGACAGGTATTTAAATAAAGGGTGCAGGTGACTGCCAAGGGCTGCACCATGTTAGCAGATCATGGGTCTGTTTCTTTTACCTGTTTCACTTCAAGGCGTACAGCCTCCAGGCTGTGGGAGAGTCCTTCCTGCAGGATGTTTAGCTTTGATTTAGCGAGGTGCAGTGGGGTTCTGCCAGCTCGATCCAAGGCATCAACTCTGGCCCCTGCAAGATGCGTGAGCAAGGACAGAAAGTGAGGTCTGTCTTCAAGGCATAGTGTCCCTGGGGAGTATCAACAGGGGTGGGGCAGGAAAGGGACAGGCTGTAATTGTTGTAGAGGAAATGTTACCTCCGCGCAGCAACGTGGTGATGACAGGAACATGGTTCGTGCAGGCAGCTGGGGAGGGAAAACACAGGACACAAGACTCAGAGGTACTAGCAAACAACAAAGGAGTTTCTGCTCAAGCATGGAGCTTGCTCCTTCCAAAAGAAAGGGCTCTTTGCCATGCGAAAGAGGAACACCCCACCTGTTAAGGGTAACCTCACGCGCAAGCCTGGATACTCTCTCTAGAACAGATGTCATGCTCCTTGGGGCTGGCAGTGGGAAGAAAATGGATTTTCTCTACCCCTGACCCTTAAACCCTCATGAGGAGTGAAGCTAATGAAATGCAAAAAGTCCCTCCTAGGTCTTTAAAGCTGGGGATGCACACTGTGATGCACAGGAAAGAGGAAGGTGGAGAGGAAAGAAACAGCAAGGCAGCGTTCACCTCACCTCTCTGCATGCAAAGCTCACCTGTGTGGCACTTACCCAAGTGTAAGGGGGTGTTTCCCAGCCCATCTCTCTGGTTTGGGTCAGCCCCATGGTCCAGAAGCAGTTGCACTGGAAACAAGGAAACAGAGCCATGTCAGTCCCTTCCCTTTGCCCCACAGTCAGGCCCACACGGGCCGCAGGTCCATGCGGCAGTCATCAGGCTGCCTTAGGGATGCTCCTGTTCAGCTCATCGACTTCCTCCCAGAAACAGGGGACAGAGGTTTGCGCAGCAATGCAGAAGGACCCGGCACAAAGCCAGGCAGTGCCACTGCCCCTGGGCTCCCTGAGGGGAAGAACTGGGACTAAGAACATCCTTCTGCACCAGTACAGTCCTAGAGCTGGGAGCTGCTGGTCCCCCTTCAGCAGGGGGACACATCAAGCCATGGAGCTGGAGTTCAGCTGACAATTTTGTCACAAAACACAGCAAACAGCAATCCCTGTCACACACTGAACCAAAACAAAGAGTATCCTTCGAAATCTCTGCCACAGAGAGGTTGGAAGACAGAACTCCCCCTCCCCACTCACCGATGTGATCATTGCCATTGCAGGAGGCAAAGTGCAGGGCTGTCCGGCCTTTGTCGTCCGCGGCACAGGGGTCAGTTCCATCCTCCAAGAGTTGCTGCACTGACAGCGCCAAGGAGGAGAAGAAAGCAGGTAAGCTGAAGGGGCACCTGATCAGAAAGGGGTAATGCTACCTGCTCTTCTGCGGTTAGATACACACTCTGCCAAGCTGCTGAGTCAACTGGGCTTGAACCAGCTCCAGCCAGCATCCTGGCCCAGCAGAACCAGCCTAGGCAGTGTACCCTCCACCCTCTGTCAAAGCCTTCACCAACTTCCATGTACTGCCATAAAAGATAAGCCCATGGCTGTAATGGCTGAGGCTAAGGATCCATCTAGCCAAATTTTCAAGCTCCAAGGACAATCAGCAGCAAATGCCTACAGAGGAGTATAAAAAGATAGCAAGGACGTGGGGCTAACTCTCACAGCCTTTAGTCAGCTGCATCTCAGGCACTTCCCAAGCCAGAATTAGCATCCTGTGCTTACTAGCCCTCCATGGACTTTCTCCATAAATTTATGTGGTCATTTTCTGCATCTGTGTAAACTTTTCACACCAACACGGACCTGCAGCGGGAAGTTTCACAGTGTAACTCCATGCAGTGAGAAAAAACACCTCTTCAAACCTGTTTTGAATATGCCACTTCCTAGATTCATCTGAAACTCCTAGGTTTTGCCATACTAATGGTGGCTACTGATTGGGAAGCAGACAGGAGAGTGCACCAACCTGCCAGGAGCAGTGCAAGTACACCCTTAGGAGATGATGTATTGAAGTGAGCTAGTGAACAGCCCGAGTAGCAATACCATCATCTACTCACACTTGTTTCCCCTGCTCTTCCACTCAGCTACTTCTTCAGTGCCACCACTGGCACTTCTTGTAACCTGAACTACCTCCTTTTCTCAGATAAGAAGGAAAAACCTGCTCACACAGAAAGACAGGAAAACTAGTGTGACTCTTCAGCATTGGGTATAACAAAGGCAAACAGACCAGTAAAGGCTGAAAAGATTAGGGACATAAAAGTAGCATCTACAGCAACATGTGTAAGGGCAACTGTAAGGGCTATTACTCCTCTTGGTTTGAGATTATCCTGATACAGTAATCGGTCGGTAAAATAAAGGTCATTCTGTAGCTGTTAAAAATACTGACAGGTTTGCTATATTTTCAGATCTTTAATAGCATATCCTGCAACAGTCAAGACTGAAACTAGATAGCTCAGACCACTGAAAATCACCATTGGTCTCAGCTTCCAGAGGTTGAATTATAGTCACATTTGAATTTCTTCCTGTATACCCACTGCTTTAAGTGTGGTACAGAAGTGAAAGGAACACCTGAAAAGATGGAAGTGGCATTAACGGGGGATGTTTCATACTCCAGAAGAAAGACAGGGAGAACTGACAATGCCACCAGTGAGAATCATTCATGGGGAACGCTTTACACAGTCCTTCCCTGAAGCCAGTAGGAAATGACATAACCTCTCCCACCTAGTGCCACCACAGGAAACAGCAAAGATTTCTACTTGATGATGAAGAATAACTTCATCATCAGACACTTCCTCAAGTTGCAGAGTACACAAAACACAGCAGGATTGTAAACGGGGGAACCTGTGTATCAAATACAGGTGTAAAACTCTTAAGATGGACTGAAGCCAAGACTTTCATAAAGCCTGATTCTTTCATTCTTCCTCTTGACTTGGTGACTGAAGTCAAGCTTTTCTGTACTTGCAGAGCTCACAGATGAACTTTATCCATCAGTTCATGAAACAAGGTATATTGTTGAGCGAAAGGGTGAAGCACACCAGACAAACCCCCACCCTGATACACTGGGAGTTTCTACGAGTCAAACCAGTTTCCAATTCTGTTCACAGAACGGCCCGATGAACAGTTAGGCCAGCACAGCTGAGGGGACAGTATAGTTTAAGGAGGGACAATGATAAGGGGCAGATAATATATGCCCATATTGCTGCTGGACACTTCATATCAAACCCCACCTAATCTATAGTATATAGAGGTAAAGGAAGTCACAGGCAGGCCATGAGCCTTCTCTGAAGTCACTGTGAGAGGCAGAATCCAGCACTGGTCCTGATTCTGATCTACTGGGTCACACTGTCTCATCACACAGGGTATGGCTTCGATACTCATAACTTTTCCACCTTAGCAAAACACTACTTTCTTGCTGCTTACAATTGGGCAACAGTTACATATGAAAAAAGCTGGAATACTGCAGTGCTGATTTAGCTTGAGGCAGCTGGAAAACTAACACTATGAACCAGATGCAGTGAAAAAGTGAGTATTATAACCAGCCTCACTCTGCTCAGATGACGAACCAAGGCTCCAGAAAAGCAGTTTCTAGTTGTGCAGCATCTAAAGCACCATGTCTGCAAACTATCTACACCCTCCTCCTCCTCTCCTAAAATAAAGATCCTTGACAAAACTGCCCTTCCAGAAAGGGGTCCCAAGTAGGATTGGCAGAAGTCTTACCTGTGTCCAAGTCGTTGCTATTGGCAGCTTCACGCAGCCTTTTCAGAGCTATGGAGAAAAGAAAGCAATTACTGGGAAGCACAGAGGGAAAAGGAGTGTTTGCCTATCGAGACATCCCACCCTGGCGCTCGAGCACAGGTGCAGGGCCCAAAGCATGCTGGTGCTGGCTCAGCCCAGAGAAGGGGAAGCAGATCAAGATGCCAGGTAAGAAGCGCTCTCCTTGTCTCCTCTTGAGGCCGGCCACGGGCCCTCCCACTCCTGACGGGCACCCTCCCCTGGCAGGAGCACGGGTGCCTTCCCAAACCGCCCACCGAGCAGATCCGATCTCCTTCCAGAGGCCCCGCACACGGGAAAGCCGAAGCTTTAGCGGCTCGCCATATCGGA